TTTTGGAAGAATTCATCATAATTAGGTGATTGTACTAATAACACTCCAGACGTAACGACAAAATGAAACAGTTTTACTATAATGGGTGTTATTTAATCACCGCCCCTAATATTATATAAATAAAATCCTTGTCAAAAGCTAAGTCCCAAAAATATATTAAAATCTATCAAATCAATAGTGAGGAAAGTAGGTGTAAAATCATTAAGACCTGTTTGCTTTCCTGCAGATTGAGAAAGGAGTTATTTAGTCTGCTCATAATACATGTAGTCTGAGAGCATTTGGGGACGTGTTTCTTTCCACTTCTAAACACTTTTAACAGACAATCCAACAGGTTTTTACATAAGCTTTTCTCATGAGTCCAATTACAATAGCATTTTTGTTTTTTTCTTACTTAAATATTAATTTGCAATCCCTTAATGGTATATTTTTGACCAAGGATTCTACAAATAGTGGTACATATTTTAGTTGACCTTTTGTATAATCTTATAACAATCAATAATTAAACTTTTTGATTGCAATTCATAGCCAAGCATGAATAACAGGAATAATACAGCAAAAACAGAAAATGGCCCAGAAGTTTTGCCTCAGTAAAAAATATAGCGTTCTTTTAAGAAAGTATAATTGGTCCAATTACAACATGGCGTTATATGTGATGCTAGCACATGTTTAGTTAAACGATAAATACTCATGTTAATAATAATAAAATGAAAATAGCAGGCTGTTAAGGATAATAAAGTAAGTACAACAAACGATTTTTTTAATTCGGAGAAACATAACATATAAAGTGAAAATCATACGCAAATATGAATACTAAATATAGATAGATAAAGATGCATAGCAAACTACCCATTATACACTGTGTACATTTTCCACTTTCTACAACTAGCTAGTCTCGTTTTTAAAGTTAATTTTGAATTCGAAATTCTTGTAGCTTGGGGAAAAATGTTGCCAATAAGCATAAAATAAATAGTTTAACTCTAATGGTCGCAATAAAGTACATTTTGATGGACACAATAGTCGCAGCTGTATCATTCCTGTATTCTTAGGAAACTAATCTTCACATTTTTATAAATTTGATAACATGACAAATACTTTCCATATACCTAATCATATTTTGATCTAAGAGTCATATTTTTACTCTGTTTTTAAGGCAATATATATATATAAAAACATCACACACCATTTTCAGTAGTTAGAAATATATCACATACATATTTAAAAAAACTAAGTCACCGGTGCTTACAGTTTAGCAGGAGAGCTTAGTAATACTGTAAAAACTCAGCTTAATGTAGAACTAAAAGTAAAAATATTTTAGTCAATAAATTAAATGTAAAAGAGATTCTAATACTTCAATTAAAACAAATATATAATTTTTCTCTTTTTTTACCTAATACTGAACATAAAAGAATGAAAAAAAAATATCTTAAATGTTAGATGCTAATAGTAGAATGAAATTAAGAAATGTAGACACAAAAAAATATGGCTGAGAAAAATTTAAGTAGAGTACAATCTCAGTAATTCCAGCTCTTTGAACTGAAGCCAATCACTGAAACACTGCTGCTTTTTCTATCTCATTGACACCCATTCCCTAGGGGATGCTAACCTATCTCTGCAATTATGGTTTTAGGATACAGAAAACATTTAATAAATACAAATAAGTATTCAACAAATAATAAAAATTTAAACCGCTGATTAAAACAAAATTAGACACAATTTGATATGAGAAGCTACAAAACGAGAGATTAAACCTAACTTAAATGAAGATATGCAAATCATTCTAGAAAAGGTAAGTTTAAAAAAATTCACATTTGTTATACCAACAATTTTTTTCCCCATAATTTTTTTTATTTTTAAAGAAATCAGCTGTAACACACACACACACACACACATATACACACACACACACACACACACACACACGGGCAGAGTCAGCACAGGGCCGCTGAGCCACACAGCCAGACCAGCC